CACTGAGTGCGAGTGATATAGCAACTTGGACGCACCCACGGAGTGGTCACGCTCACCTGCTCGACTATGTCATCGTACGTCAGCGTGATATGCGTGAAGTGCGCATGACACGTGTACTGCGTGGAGCTGAGTGTGGCACTGATCACAAATTGGTTCGGACCAAACTGTACATATATTTTCGTAAATCGATGTATTGCACTCCCGCCGTGAACCGGCGTAAATTTAACATTCCCTCGGTACTGTGGCGAAACGTACTGAGCTGGAGAAGGCGATGGCTGCACGCCTGTGTGGTGATGTGGACTGTATAGCCACAGTGGGCGACCTGTGGCACCACATTCGCGACCAGGTGACAGCTGCTGCGGAGGAGACCATCGGGCGCGCAAACTGTAAGCGGCCTGATTGGTTTGATGACAACAATGTGACGATTGACGCATTGGTGTCAGAGAAGAATGCAGCATTTGCTGCACATTTTGCAGATCCCAGTGACTTGGGGAGGAGTAGTCAGTTTCGCAAACTTCGACGGCGACTGACCCGAGAGCTCCGTCGCATTAAAAATGCATGGTGGACGGAGAAGGCGAAGCAGATGGAATGCTACGCCGAACGCCGTCAACACAAGGAATTCTTTGACTCCTTGAATGCGGTGTATGGACCGAGATTGGAGCCGCTGAGGACACTGATCGATGGTAGTTCAGGCGCTACCTGCACCCAGACTGCAGACATAATGCAGGTCTGGCGGAAACACTTTGACTGTCTCTTGAACAACCGTTCAGAGATCGACTGGCCTACATTGAATGGCCTGAAGCAGCACGATGTGAAGGCGGATCTGGCGGATACGCCGAGACTGGATGAGACGCAGAGAGCACTTGCTCAGCTGCGAAACGGCAAATGTGCCGGAGGTGACGGGATCCCACCTGAAGTATTGAAACACGGTGGACCCGCGTTGTTGACTGCGCTGCACCACTTGGTGCAACGCGTGTGGATTGATGAGGAAGTGCCTTCTGAGCTGAAGGATGCCCTTGTGCTACCACTGTACAAGGGCAAAGGTAGCAAGCAATGTTGCACGAATTATCGTGGCATCAACTTGCTGAGTTGTGTGGGCAAGGTGATTGCCCGAATCCTGCTCAATCGCCTCGTGAGTCAGATTGTGGAGCCAAACGTGGCGGAAGAGCAATGTGGATTCCGTTCGGGTCGCAGCACTATAGATATGGTGTTTGCGGCTCGTCAGTTGCAAGAGAAGTGCAGAGAACGACACCAGCCTTTGTACTCACATTTTGTTGATTTCACCAAGGCATTTGATACGGTGAACCGCGAGGCACTGTGGCTGGTGTTGGGTAAGTTTGGTTGCCCGCGTAAGTTTGTAAGTTTAATTGAATGTCTGCACAGTGGTATGCGAGCGAGGGTGCAGCTGAGTGGAGAGACCTCTGATGACTTTACAGTTGTCTCTGGTGTGAAGCAAGGCTGTGTGTGAGCTCCTGCCCTGTTTAATATCTATCTTCATGCAATGTTGTCTTGTGCTTTTGATGCGGCTTGTGGTTACGGTGTTCGTGTGGAGCACCGTATTGATGGTGGGTTGCTGAACATCCGTCGTTTCGGTGCGAGAACTCTAGTCTGTGAGACAACTATCCGTATGGTGCTGTTTGCTGACTT